GCTATTTCAAGCTTTGCGCATAAGTCAAGTAAGTAGTGTATCAATAGTTTTATTTCTATATGCGTCAATCAAATGATGTATACTATTTATTATTATATTTATTTAGAAAAAGAAATCTATGATCTTTTAAAGTCAAACTTTGCTGAATGCGTTTCTCAATGTGTGTGTTGCGAAGGAAAACAATATCGATGATATGATACCCAGTATTCACATTTTAATTGTCTTCTTTCGAAAAACCACAACTTATACAAAATTTATAGACAAATTTCTTGGTATGAATTTTTCAGATTTTAATTGAAATGTTAACCCAAATAACGCTCATCCCAGTAATTCGCTGACTCGCGGCAGAATGAATATTCAATTCTTTTTCTATGATGAGTGGTGCAAACCATCTCTAATACATATATATCTTTCGAATTCGGAGCAAAAATTCTATGATTCAGATTTGAATTCTGTTTAGATTTCGTTCTAGACGTAAGTTTTGATGAAATTTGGATTATAACTATCATTTAGATTTGGACTTTGAGTCTCAGTGTTGGATTTAGAGTTGGATTTCGGATCTTAGAATTAGATGACTACAACTTTGAAGCTATATTAGAATAAAGCCAATTCCGATTGCTAAATCCAAATTCCAAACCCAAATCTATACTAAATCTAAACTATTGTGTATCAGTTTCGAGAGGCTGTAATTCTTTTTTCTCTTCTAGTTCTTCATCCAACACAGCTTCTTTAGATTTGAATACTTTAAAACTAAATCCATATCTAAATTCAAGTCTAAATTAAACCCAATTCTTCCTAGACCGAATCCTAAGGCCTTGAATTTGTTGCATTATTACCCACAATGTAATATTTTTTAAACTATCAATAAAACTCATACACAATGTTCGAAAAAGAGTAGTTTCGGTTGTATAGATTACCATTCGCATCAGTGTCGCGATGCACAACGATAAGCTTGTCCATATAATACTTTCTATGGTTAATTCGTTTAATCAAGCAGACAAACACACACTAAGACTTGATAGAAACCTAGATAAGTCGCATTAAGAGGAATAGTGTCGACGGCTAAACAAGAAACAAAGAGAGCTTACATTCAAATTTTTGTTAGAATCGCCAATTGGAACATATTTACAACTCTAGCTCAAATAAAAATGCTATCATCTTTGAAAACTTCACTACAAACCCTTAGAATAGTATGTGCACCAAACGACAACGTGATCTGCGAGAATAGTCACTAAGAAATAAACGATTTCAGCTAAACTTCTATCTTCAAATAAATTGTGTCAGATAAGACATATAGTCACAAAAAACCATCTCTGTAACACTCCTTCTCAAAGGATTTCTGGATCTAGTGTGTTCAAGAAAGTGATTGCAGACTTAGATTTCTCGGTTCTGGTTACCATTGATAGAACTTTGTAAACGATGCGAATATATATATACAGAAACATGATTAGTCACGTGTACGAAAACATACGCATACATGTACACATACTCATGCTATTTGCTATAGCTCTAACCTCAGTCGAGAGACTTTGATCATCTTTGAACACTTTCTCTTTT